CACTTCCCCTTCTCATTACCCTTTTAACAATGATATGTACCCTATTTCCTTTCTTGTAAAGAACCTATCCCTTTTTCATAAATGCCCCTTTTCACTGCTTATAAATGCCCCCTATCAAAATCTGATGGGTGCCTCTTTTCCGTCGACAAATGCCCATGTTCTTATCATCCCTGGTGCATGCCTCTTTGTTTAGGTGTAAGAAGTGCCCCATTTTCACCTCTGATAATTAGCCTTTGTACTTTGACACATGCTTCTTTTCTTTTCTGATAAGTGTCTTAACCCTTTCGATAAGTGTCCCCTTTTCCTCTCATCATTAAACGTGTCCCTAATTTCAAGCGACTAAAAGCAATTTCCCACAAAGCTCGCTCGCTACGCTTGCCCATCGTTATAGATGTTATAATTATGTAACTTATCACAGATCTATTCAGTCTTCCGTTATGAGATTGTGCTTATATAACCCCATCAGGATTGGGTTTTCCTCTTTATAAGATGTAATTTTTCGCACTGCAAGCCAAAAACTGCAAAATATGATACTTAAGCAATATCTTAAATGCTGTATTAAGAGAAACAAATATTGAAATCATCCCTGATAATGTAATCACAAAATAGGGGTATATACCAATGTCAAAAAAATGGTATATTTTCCCTCTGAAGGTGCCCTTTTTTCAAGAAAGTGCCCTTTTTGTTGGTGCCCCCCCCCCCCCCACTTTGGAAGTTGCTCCGCCCAAAGGCTCCACCGCCTCTGCGTATAAGTAAACATAATTGTCGACTACCCTAGGGTTCTTCTCTTATACAACGTCCAACAAAAAATAGATTTATCAAATGAACTGCACACTTTGGAGAAGAAAAAATCTTTAATATAGGTCTAGATCTAGAAAAGTTATGACAACTTGACAAGCACACTGGACACACACAACATCTGAACATTAAATAAATGAATCCTAGGTCTAGTTTGTTTGTTTTTGAATATTTTTATTAATAAGTTCCAGGTTTACGTCTAAATGAAATATGGTTTGGAGCCGTTTGATTATCCATGGTCACAAACAATTTTGGTCTAAAAGTTGACACGCACCAATGATGCAACTGAGCGAACGGATAGCACTTAGTCTTAGTAATACTAGTATAGCCAATAGAGTCGACATCTACTAAAGATATAAACAAGAATTAACCCTCTTGGATTATTAAAGAAATCATACTTCATAGATTATTTTAAGGTGTAACATTGGTGAATTAGATTCACGATGACGATCAAATTTGGAATAAAACCTGATCAGAAAGTTTTATCTTGATGCAGATGAGCACCGAAATTCCCCAACGTGGGCCTGCCGGAACCCCGGGGCTCTAAAGGGTGACATGAAGGCAAAGCGCAGTCAAACTACTTCACGACGATGAAAATCAAAGTGCAATTTCAAGAGAAATATTTTCCTAGCCTTTTCCTCACAAATCTGTTGAGAACAGTCTCAAAATGTAAAGAAATTACAGTAGATCACGAATTACAGCTTTTTCAAATTAATGACTAAATTCTCTTAATCTACTGATATTTCAATCAATTACTCACCCATATGCATTCTCCGTGAACTAAATCTTCTCACTTTGTGCGAGTATAGCGCGCGTCGTGCATTCCCACCTCGATATGAATATTTAAGAGAATCGAGACTTTCCCCGACCCTGCCTAATGAATATTCATGATAAAACAGGAATCCGGCCTCGCCGTGGTACGAAAAAATAAGACGCGGCCCGGTGGTGCACCTTCCTCACACTATGAATAAAATACGAATTAACAACCCCATATAGGACTAGATGAGGGGTCAGGTCCGCCCCCCCCCCCACTCAATTATTTAGGGTACGCATATATGCTTGTTCCCTCTTTTTGAAAGCACCCCCTATCTGAGACTGCCAATATTTCCGAACCCCCCCCCCCCCCTTTCGCGGGCATTTTGCGGGCTTTTCCTGCCTTGGAAACCCCCCTAATTCAGGAAAAATGCTCAATGTACCCCCGTAAATTCGGAATAATTTCTCAGGAGTCCAAAGAGATGAGAGAAAAAAAAGAAAAAACACCCCCTTTTTAAAGAAATCTCCGGGTAAAAAGTCAAATACACCCCTTTTTTTTTCAATTCTCGGGCCGGACTTTGTCGCACGAAAAGTACCCATTTACCGGACATTTTGGCAACACGCATGCGGTCAATCCGACCTCTGAGTGGGGGGGGGGGGGGGGGGCGGGGGTCAGGTACATAAAGAGAACGGCCCCTGATTTTCCTGGCCCCTCTCCTTCAAACCTTGGTCTCTCCGGTTTTCTCTTGTTTCTTTCTTGTTTCTTCCATTTCACTCTGTTTAGAGCAATTGCTGGTAATAATCCACCACAAAATGTCTTTAGATATCCGTTGTTGACCATCGTGTCACCAATGATGCAAATTCTAGACTGAGTTTGTTAACCAGGAAATCCAACCTAATTATCAGGGACCCGGGGGACCCGGGCCGCCGGGTAGGCCTCAGATTTGGTTTTCACCGGGGGTGTGCCGCTGAAGCCTCGCAACCCCTACCCTTTTTTAAGGGTCATTTTGGCGGATTTTTTTTTCTCGAAGTAAAGCCCAATCTCAAAATTTTCGGGTGTTTGCATGGCAAAAACCCTGAAAATGTTCAAAATGTTCAAAGTTTTGAAAAAGCGGACCAATATTTAGGGGTATATTTTGTTAAAAATGGGGCCATGTTTAGGGATTTTGGGGAAAACTGAAGTAACCCATTAAAGCGGCACACCCGTACCCCTGTATATCTTAATATGTGAGTAGGCTACCCCCCCCCCCCCCGATCAGGGAGCCTCCTGCTAAAATGAAGTTGGACGAAAAATAAGAACATTATGCATTTGTAATGGGCTCTCATGGCTGAAACGTATAATGTGGTGTAAAGTGGCGGACAACTTTCTTATTTGAACCAAAATGAACCATAATTTTCTTAATTTCCCCCAAAAATGTATGACCCAGGAGAGTCTATACCTATAATGATACAATATCCATAACATGTTTTGAGTAATGCCGGAATGGAGAACGCCCTTTGGAGAAATACAGAGATAAATTATATTTTGTACACGACAAAGGGGCCCGGGGGGGGGGGGGGGGTACTCAGATTTGGTTTTGAGGGGGCTGTGCCGCTGAAACCTCTGACCCATATTTAGGGGTATTTTTTTTTTAATGGGACCCATATGGTTTAGGGATTTTTGTGTGGGGGGGGGAGGGGTAAGAGGACATTTAAAAAAAAAAATTTTGGTCCCAAAAATTTCGCAACGACTCAGCCAGCCGCTGAATAAAAGCACATTTTTTTGTTGGTGTGTGTCTCAAAATTTGAAAAATTGGCCGATCGATATTTCGTTCCGTTGGGAGGGGGGGGGGGAGGGTCAGCTTTTTGGGTCACCCATTACCACATTTTTTTATTTTTTTTATTTTTGTAATAGTTATTTTTTTTATATTTTAAAACAAAAACAAAGGGGGATTTCCTCAAAAACACTACATATAAAACGCTCAACCCCCCCCCCTGCGTACGCGCCTTTCTGTATATAGTCATAATTATGTTAATGATTTATTTTATGATGTATTTTTTTCTCTAATGTGTATGGTTTATCATCATGAGTATGAGAATCCCTCGATCGGTAGAACAATTGTGCTGATATGGCCAAGCTGAGCAGGAGGATCCTTCCAAAATTATTTTGTCATCATAATGTTATTTATATATGTTTTTATCTTCGGTAAATAAAATCAATCAATCAAATCAATTGGGCCAGTCACACCTCCCCCCCCCCCCCACGCGGAGTGCCCCCGTAGTTACAATAAGGTTGCTCCTTTCCGCATTCCTACATTCAGACAATGGCTGTTTATCGTTGGGGAAGAAGACATTTACAAATTATTGGGAAAAAACAAACAAAGAAAAAACAAGATAGATGGAAACCACGAGACCACAATAGTATTATCCATTTACTTTTGCGTCGCACCGTCTGGCTTTAGCAAACATAGATTTAACGATGAACAAATAAATAAAAAGATAAATGTATAAATAACTGAACAAAATAAATACCCCCTCCCCCAACCCCCAACAAATAAATAAATATAGGGGGACTTTTTGAAGACAGAAAGAGAAAGACATTCCCCAAATCATGCCAGGATGCAAACATAAATATTCATAATAGTTTAAAGAAAACATGTTTAACAAATTGCACTCAGTTACCAAAGAGTCAAGGATCGTTCTCCTGGCTCTCATTATGGAAACAATTTTAAACAATTCAATCCCTTATGGTGATGTTGAACAAGGAGTTATATCATATATTACAATCTTGCTATCTCTCAGAAATAAGACATGTGGAGTGGTTTTTCTTTTCACCTCGCTCTATTTGAAATTTCACTTATGATGTACACATTTTTCACAAGTTAAACAGATCAAAATTAATTGTAGGGGCATACTGCACAAAATACGCGTAGGTGAGCGTGCAGGGACTGATGTGGGGGAGGGGTGGTGGGGGCGGGGAGCCTGGGGGGGGGGGGGGGGGAGGGGTGTGGCACGTGGCCGCATGGTGGCCGTTACGCTCACATCCTTCCTAACTCTGCTTGACAAAACATCCAAACTGTAATGAAATTTTCATTTCGGCATCAGAGGGGTGGGCATCTGCTCAAAATTAGGGAAATGTGAAGAATTGAGGCGTATATTCTAAAATGCTAAACCGCGGATACTGTAGATGGAGCCAAATTCATATTATTGTCTGTTATTGGCGAAGTGCCACTAACAAAATATGCCCCCCCCCCCAGATTTCTAGACTTAGATTTGAATAAAATGCTCGTGGAACTTGGAAGAACTTTGGACTAAAAAAGCAACAGAATCATTACAATCATTATTTCCCATTTTTCATGGACTTCAAGACAGCATAAGCGCCAACTCACGTTTTGTCTCACGCATAGCGCATGCAAGTTCAAGAGCATCTAGCGCAGATCCGGTTGACACACACTGATGCAGTTGCACAATACGGTTTTTGTATGTGGAATTTTGACGTCCACTGAAATTTATACGGACATTTTCACTTTTGCCAAAGGATGTTACTGCGGGAGAGCAACATGGCGACAGTTTTAAGTACGGACGAAGAAAAGGTAAGATTTTGAGTTTATTCTGGAGATTGATATGTAGTTTGAAAGAGAGAGAAGTAGAGTAGAAAATTTAGTTGCCGGTAAACTTGATATTATGCACGGAAAGGCGTCATGAATGGTGTAGTAGACCGAAATGTGCAGTGTTTACACGTGAGTGGCGGAAGTTCCGTATGCCTTTTGCACGCAATATAGGTTTCATGTGTACGGTATGCGTATGTGGGCTTCAGTCGGAGGGCTCGGCGAATGCACTGCGTTGTCTCGCGATAGGCTTCCGCCATGGCGGCTCGTGCCCACGGAAGCCGAGGCGATGGCGACCCTTTGGTAGTACTTACATAATAAATTGTCTGGTATGGGGAACAATTTAGTAAAACTGACATTTGTCAACCTTCCCCATACACAGTCTCACATACGGTAGATCTAAGCCTTGCCACATGCACAAGGCAGGGGGAATTAACAAGCAGCCTAGTTTTAGGGAGGCCAATGCCCAAATCTAACTTTTTAATTACTAGGTAATTTGTTTATACTAAAACTAAGATTAAAAGAAAGCATTTACTTTCACTAAGAAAATCCACCCATCTGCCGACTCCATAGGTTCCATCAAATAGGAGATATCCAGCTGGTTTGTAGCCATTTCCTTCTACGCCTTTCCGTACGTAAGAGCCTTGAAACAATTATATTTCATGTCGCAAAGTTACGTTCATAATTAGACAGGCCCGAGGGACAAAGTTCATGATGAAGTTTAAAACTTCGCGCGAAAGTGCAATCACTCAACAGCGGCTAGCCTTGAATCGGTCGCACACGTACACACCTTCTTCTTCTTAGTTGTTCCCTCCACCGACACAGGCAAGCCCCGATGCAGGCTGAAGTCCAGCCATCAATGTGCGAACGATTACATCTTCTACTACTACGAGCCGAAGACGATGGTTCAAAAAAGGAAAGAAATATATATAATTCATTGATATTTACCTTAGATGTGTATTCCAATAATTTGATTTCCTCATGAGTATTCCTTATTATCAACGATCGAGAAGTTACGAGGTCCAATTAAAATCCATCTTGCAGCGAACACAATCATAGCGCACATCCATGCATGCAACGTACGTGTACTAATATTTCTCTCACTCTCTCTCTCTCTCTCTCCCTTTCGCTATACGTAACATACACACTCACTAACCATGTATCATACAACACACAGCTTCAAATCATGGCTTTCATTTAACCCTGTAAACGATCATCGGATCGGCCGCCGATACCGATCCGATCAGGGGTGATCGGACAATAATTTCCGATCGCCGATCAATTAAAAAAATCGGAAAAAAATCGGCAGAATTTTTTTTTTTTTTTTTTTTTTTTAATGCCGAAAATTTTCAAGTTTTTGGCTATCAAATGCTCTTAAAAAATTCATGGCTGGGATTATTTTGTCATTTGGAGTTGTTGTAGACCATGTTTGTTGATATTTAGTGCCTTTTCGTGACTTTGAATTTAAATGTTGGTCTAAAAGCAGAGGCAAAACATGCGGGCCGCCATCTTGGATTATCAATGTAGGTATTTTTTTTTTTTTAATGACGAAAAGTTTCAAGTTTTTGGCTATCAAATGCTCAAAAAAAATTCATGGCTGGGATTATTTTGTCATTTAGAGTTGTTGTAGACCATGTTTGTTGATATTTTGTGCCTTTTCATGACTTCGAAGTTAATAATTATTGGTCTAAGAGCAGAGGCAAAACATGCGATTGGATCTTGGATTATAATGTAGGTATGCATTATAATCCAAGATGGCGGCCCACATGTTTTGCCTCTGCTTTTAGACCAATAATTATTAATTTCAAAGTCATGAAAAGGCACTAAATATCAACAAACCTGGTCTACAACAACTCTAAATGACAAAATAATCCAAGCCATGAATTTTTTTAAAGCATTTGATAGCCAAAAACTTGAAAATTTTCGTCATTAAAAAAAAAAAAAAAATACCTACATTGATAATCCAAGATGGCGGCCCGCATGTTTTGCCTCTGCTCTTAGACCAACATTATTAATTTCAAAGTCATGAAAAGGCACAAAATATCAACAAACATGGTCTACAACAACTCTAAATGACAAAATAATCCCAGCCATGAAGTTTTTTAAGCATTTGATAGCCAAAAACTTGAAAATTTTCGTCATTTAAAAAAAAAAAAAAAAAAAAAAAAAAAAAAAAAAAAAAAATCGGCCGATTTTTTTTGTCGCTCTTCCGATCCGATACCGATCAAAGGTGCGAGGGTGTCGCTCCGATCTTCCGATCCGATCAGAGCCCCAACTTACAGGGTTACTTTCATTTCAATTCTCAATTGGAGTATAGACTGCTCACGTAGACTTTTTTTTTTACTGAAATATCTTTTTTAACACTTCTCATACATTACTGCACGACACTCGTATCTAGTGCTGTGAGAATAAGGTACTAGGGTCTATAAATAAGACTACGCTTTGGGCACGATCTGACCGGAGCTCAGATTATGTCGCAATACCCTTTATTTTTGGCGCGAACAATGACGTCACTGTTCACTGTTTTCCTTCTCATTTTGAGATGGATGTAGCTATAGGGCTCAAACCAACGCAAGATTGACAGAAACATCGTACTCTATCTACTTTCGAATGTTCAGTTTGTAAAAATCTGTATTTAAAAAGATATAATCTTTTTTCTTTATATTTTCTAGTTGTTAGAAGTGGCAATTGTGAACATCTGAAATGTTGATCTCTATCAAAAGTTCTTTACTCAGAACGGATCCCATATTTTTAGGGTCTACCTTCTGCCAATGAGAAGGTTTTTAGTGAGCAAACCTCTACGCCCTCTAGGATTTTCTTAGTCGGTGGTGCGAGTGCGTCAAGGTCGTCTGCAACCACAATTATTGGATTAAAAAACGTCAAAATCTGCAAGATTGTCAACAAATGGTGAAAGACTGTTACAGATCCGTGATTATAGGTATGTTGTGAAATGTATAATTGTATTTTCTTTTCATATTTTCTTCAATTTTTATTTTTACATCATTTTTTTCCCTTTGCTAATTTTTTGAAGTGGGCGACGAGCGCACAAATCGTAGGTGTAGAAGCCTTACGCCCGGGCATTGGCCTCCCTACTAGTTTTGCCGCAATCTGGGAAACAGTTTGGCCTTCCCCTGGCCTTGGGCCTTTTTTTTGTTGGGTCATCCATTGGATCGTCTTTGTAAAAATAAGTATCATCCACATTTTCTTTGCTGACAGTTCTGATTTCCGATTCGTGCATTAGTGATGCGAAAAAACGGGTTCCGCAATGATTTTCTTCATGCATTTTTTCATTGATTTTGTAGTTGTACAAACGTACAGAGACTTTCACATCATGAGCAATAAATCCTCTGGAAGACGGACAGCCCATACAAAGTAGACGATGAACGGCGGACTGGGGGTATTTTATTACACAGAATCTGTTTTTCGCAGTGCCAGCGCGCGGATCGGAAACCAGAAACCTCCAGAGCGCAAAAAAAAATGTCTGCAAAATGCGTACAATCATTATTTTTAGGACGTATTTTGTCCACGTATATACGAGAATATCCTTGTTTAATATGCGGACGATCCTCATAGTCATACTCGGACCAGCTGATGATATTGATATTACTTTAATTGGCACCCATATCCCTTTGTAATCGCCCCTTCCATCACCATCTAACCACACATCTAACACACTTCCTTTGGAGTTTGCCAGTGGACTCTTCTTTTTTTTCATACAAAGTTGCCAATTTGATGTACATGTAGATCTACATGTTTGATGGTGATTATTGCATGATTAGGCATGTTGGGCCTTTGGCTTAATTTTTAAAGTGGAGTTCTTGTCCAGGGAATAATTTTCCTCAAATTTTTTGATTAGCAATTTCAGCTGATGGATAAATATTTCAAATGAAATTCTGTACATTTCTATGGAAGAAAACTGCTACACAAAAGATATTTTGTATAGCAGTCATGCAAAAATGCATAGCAAATTGCGATGCGATACCAGGAAAATTATTCCCTGTTGTCATGCAATTTTATTGTTTTAAACTTTAAAGAAATTGTCTGGAAGAGGTGTTCTTATCTACCTGGTAGGCACAATGCTACAAGGAATAGTGCACATACATTTACCTGTACATGCATGTACATGTATGATGTACATGTACATTTAGACCCCAAATTTTAAAGGGCAAGTCCACTCCAAAAATAACTTACTTACAATAGAAGCAGAGAAATCAGACAAACCAATCAAAAAAGGTTTGAGCAAAATCGGATAACTACTTCATAACTAATAAGAAAGTTATGATTTTTTGAAAAAGTATGTAAAACCATGGAACAATGGAAATCACTACACAAATTGCCAATTTGGTTATTACCTTCCATTAGTTTTATTCCCCCAAACCATGTCTTTTCCAGGTTCCATGATTTCTATCATATTGCGTTCATGACATTTCAAAAGACTATTTTCTGAATATTGTATACATTCATAATGATAATTATTGATTTTCATATAAATAGTTTATCAAAATTCACATTTTTCATGATTTAACTCAAAAAATTACTCCATGTTAGTGCATCTACATAAAAACATATTACTATCAATCTAACTTGGATGCTGGTGTGAAGAAATAAAATTCTTAGGGGGAAAATATGAAATTTGTATTATCATTATAAAGAAAACAATTAGTGGATAGTGAGGCAATGACATCCCAGACTCATGAGTGAGTTGCCAATTTGTCTTGTGATTTTCAAAGTTTTTCATGTCATCAAAAAATCATAACTTTCTTATTAGTTATCAGATTTTGCTTAAACTTCTTTCGATTGGTTTGTCTGATTTTTCTGCTTCTATTGAAAGTAAGTTATTTTTGGAGTGGACTTGCCCTTTAACTCCAGGCTCTGATCCCCACAAATGTTTAATTTAAGCAAAGCCATTAAATATGAACCTACCCCTCATATTTCATTGCAGTACCACTGCAATAAAACAAAGTTTATAATCTAGTAGCACCTTG